AATTTCTTGGTAACTTTCTCATGTCCTTCACGCAAAAAATTTCAGTGCCAATTTTACCCGCCCTTGCTACCTCCAGTTCCTCTTTCCCGGCTTTCGCATATGAGGAGAAATCTGGAGCCAGGGTTCGGCCACAATTCGTCCACAATGATCGTTGTAAATACTCCGAGCCAGGAGCTCGCCGTCACCAACTTCGCTTACTGCTCCGCCGGAGATTTCCGGAAGTTTGCGATCCGTGTATCCAACTCTGCTCAGGTTATCGTTGGAGATTCTATAATTCTTCCCCTTGTATATCCTTATTCGGTCTTTTTTACAATCAGATCCTTCAATTTTTTATCAGTTTCTTTAAATATGTTTCGAATTTGTTCGATTGCTCGTTTAATTTGTTTAATGTTCATTATGCATTTTTTGAGTTAATCCTTAATAAATTCTTACTAGCCATAGCAACGTTAGTGATGGTCAAATTGCTTTGAATTCTGTCCACCGACGACACACAAAAGTATCTGCTGGAGATCAAATATCTATTATCACGTGAGACTTTTTTTATCTTTTCATCATATCTTCATTTGGTTTTTTTTCTCTAGCATTTACTTTTCCTCTGTGTTCGTATTTCACATTATGAGATCTCTTTCAGATTTTTTCCACCGGCTAGTTTTTCTCTGGCATTGCTTACTCTTGAGCTGGACTATGTTAAAGCAAAAGCCAATAGAAATGAAGAGGTACAGTCTAATATTGAAATCACATAAGCTGTAAACCGCATAAATGCCAAAGAGTAGCCTATGTTTTTCTTGTATTACTAATGCTCAATGAATGAATTCCTTTTTTTATGCTAGCTATTATTTTTCTATTGCAGTTAGATGCCGTCGTTCTTGCACAACATCTTCAAAAGAAGTTTAGTAATCAGGTTAGGAAATCCTATTCCTTTCTATTGAGTTCATATTTTTCTTTTCTAAATTCCTCAATTGATGATCTTGGATGGTGAACTTTAGTATATAGATTTTGACAATAGAATAAATATTCTACATT